TGTGGTGATATTTCCAGTAAATTCCATGGGGCAGTGGCCTGTGCCTGTAACAGTACCGATATGGCCAACATACCTTTGAGCAAATGACAAGCACTTAGGGCATGAAATGTTTGAGCAAAGGAAGGTCGCCCCAGCTCCTCTTCCTGAATGTTGGCTCAGGGTTCTCTTCTCTTGCCTGCTGTCTCCTCGGCCTCTGCTGGGAGAGGATTTTGGGCTGGTGATGGGCCGTTCTTGCTGCACTTCTGGGAGAAGAACGCACCACTCAGGCTTGGCCTTAGGCAGCTGGGCTGCAGGCTGGTTTCAGGAGCTGGTTTCCTCGTCGTCGTCCTGTTGGGAGGTCCCAGCTCTCATGAGTGTTAAGCCCATGTGGCTCCCTGGAGTCCAGCTGAGCCCTGTAGGGTGAGCCGCCCCGTCCTGCTCCCAGCTTCTGAGCTCCCCAGGGCCAGGCGCTGCTTCCTGTGCCAGCAGCGGAGCGCCGTGCCTGGTGCAGATTAGGGCCAGGCAGGCCGCTGCCCAGATGGCTGCCTCCGAGTGTGGCCCAGACTGGGAGCCAGCCCTGCTGCTTGCCTTTCCATAGCTGCACCTGCTTTGCAGCAGGTGAAGGTCTGGGTATTGTGTCCTTTGAGCCTGCTGACCTCAGAGGCTGTAGGACAGACACACACACTATACACACACGTTGCTGAACCATCTCTTTAATGCTTTGATGGAATGCTCTCAACCTCCGGTCTTCTTTTTCCTTTCCCGCAGTGCTGGACCCCTCTCCTCTTGTCTCACTGGGCCTGGTTGTTGGTGGGCATCAAAAAAATAACCTTGGCGGGCAATGGCCTCACTAGGTCCCCAGTCTAGGCCTTGGGCACCGCCGGTGCTCCCTCGGCCTGTGTGGTATGAGTTGACCACCGTGTGTGCCAGGCGAGCAGTAAGTGCCAGGCGCGACCTGGCCTCACTGGTGAGACCCAGTCCTGGGAGATGGAAATGAGGCCCAGCGGACACGGCTGCCAGGGGTGGGGCCGGGGTTTAGAGCTGCTCTGCCTGCCCTGCAGAAGCCCTGGGGCCTGTGTAGTTCAGCCTAGCCTTCCTCCGTGGTGAGCCAGGTGGGGCCTCATGCCCAGCCCACTGCAGTTGCCGCTGCACTCACCCAGGGGAGGGGCCTGGCCTCTGAGGCCAGAGCTGTTGCCCCTGTAAGCAAGCCCCATGGAGCCAGGGAGTGGAGCAGCTCTGTTTGTCTCCCTGTGACCTGCTTGGGGTCCATTCGAGGCGGTGCATTGGTTATACTTGAGCACAGCAATTTGAGTCACCAAGACTGTATTTAAGCGGCTGAGTAAACTCCTTTTGACTTCTCTCCACAACAGGCTTTAATCTTTGGGTGCCAGTGGAGCACCACTGAACAAGTCGATTTTCTCTCTAGCTTCTGACTTACTGAGGCACTTTGCACAGAACACCCAAAAGCTACCCACAGTCACCATGGTGTGTTGCTGGGTATGCAGAAAAAGCGGGTGCCTTTTTGGGTAATGAAGTCTTGCTGACTTGAAGGATGAGGATGAGAATTGTACGGAAGCTTTTTTTTTTTTTTTTGGTCTTTCTGAGACAGGGTCTCCCTATGCGGTTCAGGCTGGCCTTGAGCTCACTTTGTAGCCCAGGCTGGTCTCAAACTCGAAAGGATCCTCCTGCCTCAGCCTCCTGAGTGCTGGGATTACAGGCAGGCGCTGCCACGCCCAGCATTACAAAAGCATTTTGTTTTCTAGTGGCAGAAAGAGCCAGTTTTGCAACTTTTTAATTTGTTTTTAGTACGGAGAATTGAACTCGGGACCTTGCGCTTGCCAGGCGGGTGCTGCACCACTGAACTATCTCCCTGGCCCCTTTTAATTTCTTTTTATTTTTAAATTTTATTTTTATTTCTTTTGGTTTTTTTCCGGTACTGGGAATCGAACTCATGACCTCGCGCTTACCAGGCAGGTGCTGTGCCACTGAACTAAGTCCCCAACCCCTTAATTTCTTTTAAAAGGTACCTGGCCGTGGGGTGCACACCCATAATCCTAGCACTCAGGGAAGCATGTGTCATGAATTTTTCTGTTGTTAGTGATACTTTAAAAAAATGATGTGTGTGTGTGTCAGCCAACCTACTGTGACATGAAGGCTCACACGGTTCAGGTTCCGGTGGGCACAGCAGCCAGTGGCCCAGACCTCCTGTCTGCCGCTGAGGGAAGCTGAGTTCCCCGAAAGTTTAGGGCGTTCCCCACACTCAGCCCGGCCTCCAGCCCTGTGATACTTTGTCGACTTCCTGGTCAGGCCTGGGTGGGAAAGCCCCTGAGAACTTAGGGAGAGGAGAAGCCCAGGGAGGGTGAGAGCTGATGCCTGTACGACACCCGACACCCATACCTACTGCTCTTGCTGGGATTCAGAGGGTCCCAGCCAAGTGGTCAGGCAGTGACCTTGCTCCTGGCTCCAGCGGCGCCCTGTGCTTGTGGCCTGGGTGCTGCCCAGCGTGCATCCCTATGAGATGGAAGAGGAGCTGGGAGGCAGGCCCTGCACGCCACCGTCTACGAGCCTTTCTGGCGTCATTGGCCGCTGTGATGAAAGCCACCAGACAAGGTGGCTCCTTCCCCCGCTGAGAGGTTCTGCCTCCCTCTGATCAGCCTTCCTTTGCAGATGGGGGTGGCTTTATCCTTGACAGTGCCCCTGTCCCCGCCTGCTTCAACAGGACTTCAAGATGATTCTGTTAGCTGATATGACAGTGCATGCCTGCAGTCCCAGCACTGCGGGAGGCTGAGGCAGGAAGAGCACAAGTTCAAGTGCAACCTGGGCAACTTGGTGCGAGACTCTGTCCCAAAATAAAAAGTAAAACAGTCCCGGGGATGGAGCTCAGTCTGAAGGTCTTGGTTTCAGTTCCCAGTACTCCAGGGAAAAAAAAAGGTGCTGGGTAGGCCCTGTGGACAGAGGCGGGCAGCAGGGGAGCTATACCTGCCCCAGCCTCCCTCTCCCCACTCTCATAAGCCAGGTTCCCTGACACCTCCGTGCTTGGGCATGCAGGTGGAAGCAGCTGTGTGGGGAGCGTCCCTGCTCTCTGCTGCTCATTCAGATGAGAGATGGGTGGGCGGAGGCCGCTGTGTTCTGGGCCAGCTGTGGGCAGAGCTGCCCGGCTCACGGCTCACGGCTCACTGAATCATCACATCACCTGTTTGGGGGAGCAGCTTTCCACAAACTCGAACTCGAGTTCTCGGCACCCGCGTCCCTGCTATCTCTGGGCGCCTGAGGTTTTCACTGGCTTGTAATTGCGCAAATCCTCACCGTGGCAAATCAGAGATACTAAGGACTCGGGGCTCCTGCGAGCTCAAAGTTCACTTCTCATGAATGTAAACAGAAATTGCCTCGGGATATGAAGTCCTGCTGAAATGGATCCCATTATAACCACAGCAGAAACTAAGAGGCCTTTGAAAGTTCTTCTAATTTTATTTTGATACAATTTCAAACTTACCAAAAAGTTACAAGAAAAGTATTATAAGAAACTTCCACACGTTCTTTTTCTTTTTCTTTATCCCTGCCCATACACATACCCTGTGTCCCAGCTGTGCCAGCACACTGCCTAAGAAACAAGGACACTGGACATTCCGTCATAGAACCTCAGTGCCAGTATCAGATCAGAGAACTGAATCTTAGTCCCAGGCTGTTTTCAAGCAGTCTAGACATGAACTTCATCGTCCGCCGCCCAGGAACCCTTACAGCCCTTGCCCTCTGCAGGGCCGGAATGTGGTCTGGGGTCGCGAACTGCATCTGCCCGTCTCCTCCTGTGCAGCAGCCCCAGGCCCCATCTGGATGTCAGCCTTGTGCTGTGGGGGGAGCTCTCCGTGTGGCTGTCCTGGGCCTGGTGCGGTGTCCCTGCATGGCGCGTCGGCCTCCGAGGTCACATCAGATGGCGGGAGGTGCGCAGTGACGGCCAGGTCAGGTGAACAGGCTTTGCCTCTGTAATTGATGATTCTGGGGAGATGTTTCCAAATGGTGTAAAAACCCTGTTCCCCCTCCAGCTGACTCCCACCGGTTTCCACATGCACCACTGCTTTCCTGCCTGCACTAGAACGTTCCTTGTGCATGGCCGGGCGGCTTTCTGAGGGCCTCCCTCCCCGTCTCTTATTTACACGTCCTTATTTGTATCTCTCTGGCTCGCGGCAGTGGCTTATAATCTGCTGCTGTTACTACTTGATTAAAGGCTGCTCCGTGTGACCGTGGGGGCCTTTTGAGTTGGTGCTGGCGCCGCTGCTGCCTGGGAGCGCGTCCTGCTTCCTTCCTGGCCAGCACTGTGCGCAGGCTCGCCCTGTGCTTCCTGGTGAGCCCTGGACACCCCTTGTCCTTGGAGCGCACCTCACTGTGCAGCCTGGAAGGTCGCATTGTACTAGCAGCCGGGATCTGTGTTCTCAGGAATGCTTGGCTGTTCTCTGGAATGCTGTTTTTGAGAGAGGAGACCTTGTGACCAGCTCATGAATTTTCTTTTTATGCTACTGAAGACCAAAATAGATGATACAAATTTATTTTGTGGATAATATAAACAAAGGTAGAGGTTAAGCCCTGAAGGAGCTCTTATTATTAAACACTGTGTACCTGAAATTTCAATTTGTGGACCATGGGATGAGGTCTCTTTGTGAAACATCAGAAACTGAGGCTCAGAGAGGGTGACGTACTGGTCCAGAGTCACACAGCTAAATGCTTGAGGCATGGTTTCCATCTAGCACAGCTCACTTTTTATGATAATTGCGTAACATGTTGCCTCACTCTGAACTGTCAAATTCATGCATGTAACAGTTGAATGACAGAAAGTTTATTTCTGGCTTAAAGTCTTTCTCCTGATGAGTAATTCTGTATGAAAACCGACGCTGAAGAGCTAAAGTATGTGGCTCATTCCATTGTCCCTCTCCAAGGAAAGTTGACTTGTTTTACCAGAATAATTCAGCTGTCCTAGTGTTGCTTAAAATACCCAGAAGTTCCCTAACCCTTTTATTTTTTTCCTATAGGAATTTGCTTGCTAGAAAACAAAATGCAAGACTTGACAAACACAATGACTTGGGATGGAAGTTATTTGGAAAAGTACCACTCCGAGAGAATGCTCAGAAAGAGTCAAAGAAAACACACAAGGTACACCAGACGCAAAGCAGAGACATGCTGTGGTGTGGGCGCGGCCAGCTGTATGACCCTCAGCGCGGCTTTGAAGTGGAGAACCTGTGATGTTTGCATGCCGAGTTCCTCAGACTTCAGTGTGTGCTGAGAATATAGATGAATGTAACTTTTTCATCTCTTATAGCTTGTGCCCTGCGCACAGGAAAGTTGAGCTGACAACACTGACCTTAGATACTTACAGCTCCATTGACTTTACACATTCTTTTGGTAACAGTTGCGAGTGTGTTTATCATCACATTTTTGCTCTGCTTGACATGAAAGCTTTTCCCCTGGGAGCTTCATTCCTCCCGGTGTTGCTCTGGAGCAGGGTTAGATAGGGGGACTCCCTGCCCTACTCCAAAGTTGCCCAATTTGGAGGGGTTCAGGGTCAGGCCAGGCTGCCTTGACCCACGTTGGGGGTGCTCACGCCAGTGGCTTGCAGGGAGCAGCAAACGCAGGGACACAGAGCACTGGTGGCTGAATAATTCCGTCTGTGGGAGACTCGAGCAGGCCTGGGAAGCCCTGACTCTTAGCGCCTGCGCTTGGCCTCCTGACAGGCTGCTGCTGGCCCGCGCTGTGACAGTCGCCCCCACCCCAGCTTCCCCTGCCCGTGGACTTGCACTCGGTGACGCCGTTCAGTGAGCACTCGAGGGCTGCCGAGCAGTGGGCCTTGTGACGGCACTGGGGTTGGAGAAGGCCGGCCGCCCTCTAGAACTGCCCTCTAGAAACGGTGTGGGTTGGTGTCTGCAGTACCTGGAGGGGGTGCCTTCTTGGTGAGGCGGCACAGGCCCTTGCCTTCAAAGGAGCCCCACCTGTGTGTCTAGGTCACTGATGACCCCCAGTGACTCCGAGAGATTCACTGTTCCCGTTTACCGAAGAAACCTTGAGACTCGGGCGAGTACTTGCGTAGGGTTGCATGGCTAGGAAATGGCAGGGTGGGGCCAGGGGTTCGGCCCGGCCTCACTGCGGGGAGCTGGGCAGTTCGACTGGGGCCGATGGCTGAGCCCGGGAGCGGAGGAGGCTGTTGTGGGCCTGGCTGCGGTGTGGCCTCTCCCAGCTGCTGCCTTTCCTGCTGGCCACATGCAAGGTGGATGTGGGAGACCAGGGGTGGGGGGCGGTGGCCTGCAGCCGTGGTTGCTCACAGTCTCGCACCTGCATTGTCTCCAGTGCGGCAAACTACATGGGTAGTGAGTGTGTCTCCTGTTCCCTGAAGTGACATCCGGCCCGGGAGACATTGTGAATCCAGGTTGGAATTCATTTTTGGAGATTTCTTAGCAAACTAAGTATCTCTTCTGTCTTTTTAAAGAAATCAACACTTTAAGGAAAAGTAACAACTATACTACATGTTCTAATAGCAATTAATATCACTTGTATCTGAATTTCTTTAGTATCATGGTAGTTATTTTAAGTTTTACATTTTAATGTGACCGTCAGGGGTTTTTCTGCCTTGTGACATGAGTAGGAGGCCAGCTACATGTAACGTGATCCCGTGGAGGCCCATCTGGCTGGGTCTTCAATAATGAAGAATGTCACTAGACCTGCCCGAGCTGTTCAACCCTGCGGGCAGCAGGTGCAGGCCGTGTCCTGGCCTTCTCACGTCTCGCATCTGCCCCAAGTCGGCCAGGCCCGAGCGGGCTGCAGGGTGAGGACTTGCTTCTGTGCCGAGGCACCAGACTCAAGCCAGCCACTGGCACAGGTGCCCAGCACACAGCCACCCACCCTGGATGTGGGCGCTGGGCCTGTGTCAGCGTGTGGGGTCTGAGACAGTGCCAGTCATTCCCCTTAGAGCCAACACATAAAAAAGTCTCCAGGAAACTCTTAATTCCTTTTTTCGCTCTAAAAAATTTTTTTTTAAATCTGAGAGAAGCAGCATCATATCATTATTTAAAAAGATGGAATTTGGAGTGCGATGCCTGAGGTCTGTATCCCAACTCCCCACAGTTTGGCCGTGTGGCTTTGAGCGAATTGCTTAACCTTCCTGAGCCAGACTTTCCTCATCTCTAGAAACTGGAAGAAGTGGTGTCTGCTCCTGGGGAGGAGAAGACTCGTGAGTAAAAGCTATCTCGTGCTCAGAGGAGGGCCGCTTGTGGGAAGTGCTGCAGGCACGTTTGCTGTTGTTGTCCCTGTTTCCCATGACAAGGTGGCTCTGAACCCAGGAAGTGGAGCCTGGCCCAGCAACACAGCCCTCTGTCTCTCCTCCTGCAAACACTACCCCCTCTCGGGCCAGGTCTTGGCTGAGCACGGGGGACGCCAAAGTGGTGGCAGAGATACAGCATGCGATGAATTTCCGCCGGTCTTAGCACATTGGTGGCCTAGAGTCAGTCGGGGCGGCCGCGGCGCCTCTGAGCTCCCCCAGGCCAGTGTGGGCCCGAGGGGCTGTGTGCAGCCTGCCCAGGCGCCCCGCCTTATCCTGACTCTTGGCTTGGGCCCTAGGACTGCAGGGCTTGGGAAATGTTGAAATGATGCTTGAGTTACCTGTTCCAGTTTCATACACATTTTGAAAATTATGCCTTGTTTTTCCTACGACACTGATTTCAGAGAGCTTTTCTTAATGGAAAACAAAACTGACCAAGGTCTAGAGAGCCCTACTAAAACTGTGGTTCTTGAAGTAGGGTCACCAGACTCGTGACTTGGTCAGCGCTGTCAGCACCCGGCGCTGTGAGAAACTCAGGCTGTCAGGCTCACGCCCCGCATGGAACTGAGCTCTGGGGCGGCCCACAGCATGTTCTGACAGATGCTACAGGCAGTTAAGTGCACGCTGCCCTTCCGAGCCCTGCTGTGACGCTGGGGGAGAACTGTCGTCTTCGTCACTGCAGGTCACACAGGCCAGCGCACGCAGGTGCACTCGTGTTGGTACCTGCCGCACAACCGGAGTCAGGATGGAGGTGCAGAGGTGGTGCTGCCGGAGCTGCCCGGCTCCTCCCCTGGGCGTGTGTGGCCTGGGCTCTGGTCGATGGGCAGGGGCATGCCGCTCGCTGGCCTGTTGCTGAAAGGGGGGCTTATTTCTTGGATCCCCTGGCTCTTTTGTTTGCTTCACAATTTTGAGCCGCTGACTGGATCTGTCCCTGGAGTACAGTGAAGGGTAGGCAGGACTTCCCTGACCCTTGCCTTTGTCAGAATTGACCATGGGCCCAGGAAGGACATTTTAACGAGTAACTCCACAAATGACTAGTTGCCATGTGTCACATGTGGGGAAGAAGTCCAGAGTGCAGTGATCATGGAGGGGTTTTTGTAGCGAGATGCACATTTTTCTGAAACCGTGTCTTAGGCAGTGGCCAGTTGCCCAGCGCAGTGGTCGGTTGTCAGCCCTGATTTCCCAGTGCTGCCAGCGGCACAGCCTCGCTGAGCTCCCCGCCCCTCCAGGTCACCCCCTTCTCCGCCTCTCCCACTTCCTGTGCAGCCCTAGCTCCCACAGCACTGCTCACACGTTTCCCTGCCACTGTCTCCTGGGGATCCCAGCATGACTGCAGGCTTCCGAGCGTGGACAGCGCACCCTGCATCCAGCAGGACACACCCAACTCCAAGTCCTCGAATCCGCCTTCAGGAGGTCACTGTGAAGGAGTAAATGTGGAAGTGTGTAGTTGGAGCAGAGGTCAGAGGTTAGGGCTGGAGATGTGCAGATGTTTCACGCAGAGTTTGTGGATCTTCCCTATATAATGCTGTGGACACAGGCTTGAGCACCTGGCATCACTGTGAGGAAACGAGGTGGAGCCGAAAGTTGTCTTGGATGCGCTCGAGGCGGCTGCCAACTGTGGCAGTGGTAGGACAGGCTTGTGCATTTCAGGGTCCTGGGTAAATGCTGTCACGTGGGTAAAGGTGAGGAGGCGGCCTGCTGTGTCTGGGTTTGTGGAGCTGCAATGTCTTGGATGGCCTGGAATTTCCAGTCAGCTGTTAGGCCTTAGACAACCCACAAGGCGGCAAGTCCAGGGGTGCCAAACGTGGTGTCCTTCTCATCTCTGGGTCCTGAGAATTCTGGGGTACTCAGAGGGTCTCGGGCGCCGCAGGTCGCGGGAAGGGAAGATCAGGGTGACTGGTGGGAGGAACTGGCCGCTGGCCTAGTGGCAGACTTTAGGATAGCAACAAGCTGGAGTGACTTACAGAACTACTCAGAGCCGGTACCAGTTCCAGGTGTGATGGGTGAGCGTGGCATGGGCACGGCCGCCTTCCCCAGAACGAGGCTGTGAGGTCTGCACACCGCACAGGGGCGGCGGCCTGCGCTGCTGGGAAGGAGGTGGTGGCAAGTGGGTCACAGGTGCTGACCAGAATTTGGAGTGCTGCTGAAGTGACACTGAGGTTCCCCTTTTTGGGATTTCCAGACCCAGGAAGCCAGGGAGCCCCAACCCCAGAAAGGGCTGTTAACACAGACAGAAATCCTCCCGCGGCTGAGGCGTTGGCTGTAGGAGTGCTTCTTGCACTCAGAGAGGCAGGAGCCCTGTTCACGTTCTTTCCCCTCTGTTCTCTCACACCCAGGCCTCAGGCAGTCGGATGGCAGCAGCCAGGGCTGGAGGGCACGGAAACCCTCGGCAAGGGGCCCAGGTGAGCAGCTTTGTCCCACGAGGGTGGGCGAACCTCAGGGGCTTTAGTCCCTCTTGCCACCGTCTGGCCTCGATGAGGACACAGCTGCGGGGAGCATGTGGCTAGGGAACTAGAACAGGGGAGACCCAGGCAGCCAGAAAGCAGCAGGGGGACTGCTGGGAGGACAGGCTCAGGAAAGTGACCCTTGGAAGCTGGGGCACTTTCCGTGGATCTGAGGAACACACACAGAAGCGAACTGCAGCCCCTAGGCTGGCCGCTGGGTGGTGCAAATGAGGGATCCAGTCAAGAATACTGAACAACCAGCTGAGTTTGGAGCCCAGAGAAGGCTGGGCAGGAGCTTGGGTCTGGAATCCGCCTGGATGACCCACTTATCTAAGCAGAAATGTCAGCGCTGAGGCAAGACCCAGCGTCTCCTAACACAGAATTCAAAACATCTGACCCAC